GCAGTCTCAGTCCCCGAGTCCACCCAGTACAAATGCAGAAGACACTAGCATTGAGGAAACTGGAAATCACACACCAGATATCTCTGAAATAATAGCGTTGACAGTAAAAAATCAACTGCAGAAAGGTATACAAGAAATAATTTCGGAACTAAAAAATATAGTGGTAACTATAATCAAAGAAGTACTAAGTGCTTCTAAAGAATACACTGTCAAGTAGCCTGAAAAAAAAAAAAAAGAAAGAAAGAAAGAAAAAAGAAAAAAGAGGACCTACAAGAACCTTAAGAAGACAGATTTAATTTTTTTTTTTAAAGAAGATAGAGCAGAGGAGTAATACAACTCCAGCAAACCCTAAAAGCAATTCTGTAAGTGATCATATTTACACCGCAGGAGGGGGTAAAGGTTCCGAGAAGAGGTGCTAGTCATGACTGGGCAGTTCCCTTGCTAGGCAGAAAGTGATAGAAAAGAAACCATAGGTCTAAAGCATTTGTCTCCAGGGAAACTTGGCTAGGGCTCCCTAGTGGCCCCTGGAAACCCATGTGCACCTCATGTGTGGGGAGTCAACGGAAGAAATGGTGCATGTACCAAGCACAATGCCCACTGCTGGTAGCCCCAGGGGCCTGTGCAGATCAGCCAAGCTCATAGCCCACCTTATGGCCAAAGCCCACTGTGCGAACCACGCCGCAGGGCCCACAGGAGTCTCAGACTCATCCTCCTTCGCAAGGACTCTGTGTTACGCCTTGTGTCTGGATGGCCCCCAACCTTCATGTGGTCATAGGTGAGGCTTCTTGAGAGGTGGCTGGATCTAGAGGGTATGACCCTGAGATTGATTCATGGTACAACGCTAGACTCACAGGTACTAGGGTTAAGGGTGTGAATGTTACCTTCCCTAAGTAGCCTGGATAAGATACAGGAATAGAAAGAGCTGTGGTGATCCCTTTGCTTGCTTTGCTGCCTTCTGCCTACCATAAATGGTTTTTCCTCTGTGATGCCTCTCTGCCATCCAACCTGCCTTGGGGCCAGCAGACTACAGACAGAAACCTCTATGAACTGTAAGCCAAATAAACTTTTCCCTCTTTAACTATGGTGCCAGGTATTTTTGTCTCAGCAACAAGAAAAGTAGCTAAGCTACTCTGTTTACCAGGATACCACTTGAGAGCACTGGTACCAACAGCAAGCTCGGCAGGCGAAGGCTGACTATGCAAAACTCCTTCAGGGTCCTGAGCTCTCAGACTGCAGATGTCCCTGCTTGCCAATCCCCCGGGAGGGACAGCCAGCTCCACAGTGAGAGCAGGGCAGCCAGTCCCTAGCCGAGACTCAGTGTCCACCAGCGGCAGTGCCTTGAGCTGAGCATCCAGCTTGCACAGGCTTCTCTGACCTACATTTCCCAAAGCAAAAGCCTGGAGCACAGAGGAAGAATGCTCTGGGTTTGGTTTTGGTCTTGATTCTGGCTTTGGTTTCTTACCCTAATGGGAACATTTAAAAAAAAAAAATATTGGAAACCATTATAAATACAAAACAAAACAAAGCCAGAAAGGTACTCTATTCTCCAAGGGGCCTGCAACCACAACCTGGGAGCCAAGGGAAGTCCCAGCTGGCTGAGGCACTGATGTCCCTGAAGGTGGCTGATGGGACAGCTCAGGCCTCAAACATGCTGGCTTCAAGACTGTACTGTGGCAGCCACTGTATCCACCCACTGTTTCACAAAGACAATTATTATCACGTTTCCAATTTTTATCATTTCTGTACCTCACCTGTGCTGTTAGCTACTAAATACTTTTTAAATTGCTTGCTTTTTCACTTCAGTATATTTTAAGGGCACTTTGTAACACTACCCTAAATGCAAAACCAGTATCATTTGCCACTTGTCCAAGATAACTGTGAAGACTGTTAGGCTATAAATAATAGAGAATTATTCAAATCCAGCCAGAAAGGCTGCCCTGGACTCCAGACTACAGCTGATTTTTCATTGAAAAGGAACTCATGCCTGCTCACCCTGAAGACTGCCTGAGAGACCTGGTAAGCTAGCCCCAGCTCCTCCAGCCTTCCCACTAGAGTTTGCTGATTCCAGCTGCGAATGGCTGCCACTGCTCAACCTGAGGACCGTCAGGGTGACTCGGCAGCCCTAGCCCCATCCCCCAAGGCTTCCCACCAGAATTTGCTGAGTCTGGCCACCCCTTCTCACCCTGAAGACCATCAGTGAGTCCTGACTATCACATTGACCCACAGGAGCCTTGCAGAGCACTACCCTGCTCCAGTCCACCATCAGGAGAGCATCGCACATCTTTGGCCTACACTCACCATCGTCAGATCCTTCTGGAACTACAGCTTGCCCCCCTCTACTTAATGAGGTAGAAACCACATTGAACTCCACACAGCAGGAGCTTTGGTGGGCCTACCATGCCCTCCTACACTTTGGGGAACATTGCTGACCTGCACCCTGCCCATCTACCTTCACTGCAAAAAATGACAAAAGGAAGGAACAAGAGGCAATCTTAGACTGCCAGCTCACTGAAAACAAGTCCAGGAGACAAGGTCATAGAAAAATTTGGAAGTCACATGCCAGAAATTTCTAAGGTGATAGCAACTGAAGTAAAGAAATAACTCTATCAGGCTATGGAAGAAATCAGATCAGAAATAATATCTCAGGTAAAAAAGAAAATGACAACAATCATGAAAGAATTGCTTGATACATCTAAGGAGGACACAGACAAA